TATGTCTTTACTCAGAAAGATTCGAACTTGAGACAGAGGAGATGGATGGAACTACTGAAGGACTACGACATCACTATTTTGTATCATCCGGGGATGGCGAATGTTGTAGCGGATGCTTTAAGTAGAAAGGCGGGAAGCATGGGATGTCTAGCTCACTTGCAAGCTTCTAGACGCCCATTGGCTAGAGAAGTTCAGATTTTGGCTAACGACCTTATGAGATTAGAAGTAAATGAGAAGGGAGGATTTTTAGCTTGTGTGGAGGCAAGATCTTCCTTCCTTGAAAAGATTAAGGGAAAGCAGTTTAATCATGAAAAATTGATCTGGATCCGAGACAAAGAGTTGCAAGGAGAGGCTAAAGAAGCGACAATCGATGAGGAAGGTGTTTTGAGTCTTCAGTGGAAATTCAGTCTCTGAACCTTGCGACGACCTGCAGGAAGGACCGTCGCAGGCACGATGGGCCGTCGCAGGTTGCGCAATCCCAGTCTTGGTCGGATTTCTTTATATGTTTTAAGGGACGTTTTTGACTATTCCTGCTTTAATTATAAAGTTAGTGGGTTAATGTTAATAAGTCTAATTACTTGGGGGTTAAAAGAGGTAACCTTAAGTTAATTAGTGGGTTATTATTGACATCTTTTATTCTTAATTATATACTAATCAGGGTAAAAGAAAGAGGGTTTGCATAAAGAAAATTTGAAAGCACAAGAGAGGGAGAAAACGAACGAACACGGAGAGAAGAAGAACAAAGCTTTGGGAATTTGCTTGCTTGATCACTAGTCTTCGGTGGAGGTAGGTTATGGTTTCTGTTACGATATTCATAGTAAACTCTTAATAGTGAATGATATGTATTGATAATATTGTAAATCCTGCTATGTGCTTAATTGTATGCTTGCATGAATATAATTATATAATTGTGATTATATAAGCATGATGAAGTTATTGAATCCCAAAATCTTGCAAAACCCTAATCTCTTTGTTAATGATGAGGCCTTGGTATAAAAGAAGGCGTGATGAACTAAAATAATGAGATTGATGATGCCTTGGAAGAAAAGAAGGCTTGATGAATTGATAGAAGGAGATTAGGGGATCGGGTGTTACGAACCGACACGTAGATTTAGGGGATCAGGTGTCACGAACCGACACATAGATTTAGGGGATCGGGTGTCACGAACCGACACGTAGATTTAGGGGATCAGAGTGTCACGATCCGAGACATAGTCGTAGGGGATCAGAGTGTCACGTACCGACACAAGAGGATTAATGAATATGAGGGAGAAGATTGTCACGTACCGACACAAGAGAAATAAAGATAATGAATCTTGAAAGATGTTAATATACTCACTCTAATAAACATAATTCCCAAATGAGTATGGTATTGAGGCTTGAGTTCTCATGTGTGAACTTGACGGTAATTGTTAATGATATAGTACTTGGTGTTGCTACAATTTGAGTATCATAGTTGATTTTATGATATTACTTGGTATATATTGATTTCTATTTTGACTTGGCTGATGATATCTACTCAGTACCCGTGTTTTGTACATACTCCTACTTTTATTGTTTTCTTCTTGTTTATTTGTGGAGTGCAGCAAACGTGTCGTCATCTTCGACTCAACAGTAATTCTAGCCAGTCTTCATTACTCCGGATATCAGTTCCGGCATGGACTAGCTTTTATATATTTTTTAGCTTCTTAGAAACTCTTAGATTTAGTAATTGAAGTAGATGTTCTTGTGATGATGACTTCCAAATTTTGGGGATAATAATAGTTATTGATTTTATTAATGAGTTTAAGTCTTCCGCATTACTTTCTGTTGATATTATATTGAAATGTTAAGGTTTAGATTGGTTGGTTCACTCACATAGGAGGGTAAGTGTGGGTGCCAGTCGTGGCCCGGATTTGGGTCGTGACACTATGTCTTAAATAAGCCTCTAAATTGACTAGAAATATTTAGACTTCCCAAGCTATAGCTAGAAAATTTGAAACTAAAGTTAAAACAACACAAACATAGTCATGTCACTAGTCCTCAAAAAGTACGACTCACGACTAATGTTGTTGAGCTAATGATAGGTAATCCATGTATGTGTGATCTTAATGTTGAGTACTAGAACCTACATCACGAGAACATGTACCCCAGAACATGTTTTATCACTTAAAAGGTACCGAGCATGAAGGAAAGAGTGATAGTGAACAGTAACATTATTGAATCAAAGCATCTAAGCAATGACATGATTTGAACAGAAATAGAATACTAAATGTATTGTACATGACTAAACATAAAGCAATGACCAAGATCATAATATGAAGAAACTGAATATTGAACTATATTGATAACATGCTAAATCCATTAGAATATGAATGAACTATAAGGGAGCTTACTAATAAACGACATAAAACCAAATGACTTAAATGTGAAGTCCGATGTGTGCAACCTATAGAGAAGACCCAATGTACCCTACCTTAGATATATAGGCATGCTGATATGATGAATAAGATGATGCGCACAAAGAGGACTTAAATCCTATGTGGCACGTAGTTCTGTCAATTGGGTGTGACTTACCCTATGCCACTTGGTATTGAGATTCCCATATGATTAAGCAATTAACATGTTATGGCTTTTATATTGTTACACTAGATAACTCAAACCTGACATGTAAATGGGGAATGCAACATTTATAATATTGATAATAATTCATTTGAAAACTGACGCATATTCTTATATAACAAAATAAAATGTTTAATTCAATAACTAGAAGATCTACATAATGAGGGTTCTAAATTTATGCATGAAAATGGAAAAAACTGTTACTGAATTCATGATAATACGATTTGGATCATTCTAACAGGTAAAACCCAACATTTTTGACGTTCAAGAAACCCTAGGCATTGATAAGCATTAATGGAATCAAGATTTTGTCTGAAATATAGCTGCCTAATGAGTGAAAGGAATCCTCTAGTGTAATACCACATACCTAGTGAAGAACATTATGGAGAAATCTTTTTATTTTGGAGCCTGAACTAATGAAACCTTGTTGCATTCTTCGGAAGGGTTTGGTCGCCTCTTTCTCCTCTATAGTTTCTAAGTTTCTGAGTGTCTGTGAATGATCTGACTTTGATAAATTCTTATTATGTTTGTAGGATAAAACTAACCAAAAACACATAGTTTAGGGTTGAACGACGTAGGTTAATAGTCCTACACTTTAGGAAGAGAACAAAACACCCCTGGCATAACCGATTTCAAGGTAACCGAATGACTACTGATTAACTGATGGTCTGTGCTTGTCAATCGTAAGTCGTCAATGGACGCTGGTTTCTATGGGTATGATCCCGATGCAGATCAATATACATGGTCTAACCTAAGGTATGTGGGTTCGGCTGTTGGTCGACCCTTAGACGGAATTCTAGGACTGAATTCAGGGTTGTTTATATTGTTAATATTGTTGGGTTGCGCGAGAAATTACTTGACTTGTAATAGTCTTGAGATAGAAATCTATTGCATCTACACTCTGACTTACCTACTATCACGCCCCTAGCCTACACTCAGGATGTGGTCGGCACTCACTAACAATTTATGTCCTTGTGCGAACCCTTAGCCTGACTTACTTTAATCAGTGGAACAGTTAAATCAATATAAGAAACATTCTCATTAAATAACATGAAATAAATAATTTTTCCAAAATGGCACGTATGTCTCATGGAAAAACTTCTGCAAAAAAAGAAGAAGAAAGAGACACAAAATTAAACTGTCTGACTATCTATGAAGCCACTACAATATTAAGATGGATGTTGGGACACACCCCATAACATGTTATAAAATAAAGACTGAAAAAACAAGTAATTGTGTCTGTAAAAATGCAAGGAGACTCACCACTTACTACGAGTGCTCAGTTGGATCAACAAGGTGCTTGATGATATTGATCCTTGTTACCTGTGTCTCCATCATGATACGATGCAGGTAAACTTGTATCATTACATTGAAAGTACGAGTGTGCGATTTGGTATGCTAACCACAACTTAGGATATATACATGATTGAACAAGAGATAATTTATAAAATCAATTAATACAATAATAAAAAATTTACCAAATAAATTTTAATCAATTGATATATTAATTTACTAATATATATGTCACAAAACAATGAGATAATGACAACTTCATAAATAGTTCAATAACATCAATCTAATTAGGAAAATATTTAATTTGTAATTAATATTGTTAGAGATTGACAATGATACAAACCAACTTAAAAAGAAATTTTATAAATATAATGATTTTTGTTAAAATCCTACCTTATAAGAAAATCATCATAAAAATTTTTACATTTTTGTTATTTGAGTTCATTTTAATCAAATAATATGAGGATTTTCTCGCTATAAATAGGTGGTTAGAACAAACACCAAACATCACATTTTCCTATATTTTCAATCCAGAAATTTAGCCATGAAAATATTTATTGGTCGCAAAAAAATTGTAATTGCAAGGATACAAAATTCAAAAAATAGACAAGTAACATTCTCAAAACGACGTATTGGCCTATTTAAAAAGGAAACTGAGCTATGTACTTTATGTGGTGCTTGTGTTGCTGTTGTAATTTTTTCATCTAGCAACAAAGTATATTCATGTGGACATCCTTCCGCTGAGTTAATTGTGGATAAGTTTCTTGGAGAAAATCAACCCGGCTTTGATGCTCCTAACTCCACTAGCTTATCTCATCAAAATGTAAATGTTGATGATATCAACAATGAACTAAACATGTTGGAGAATTCACTCGAACAAGAAAAAAAACATGGAAAAGCTCTCAAAGGATTATGGAAAGAACTTCCATATGAACAACTCAACTTTTCTGACCTTAAAAAGTTGATTGAGCTCTTGGAAGCTGCAGATGAAGAAGTTGAAAGAGTAGCAAGCCAACTTATGGAGTATGATACGGAATTTCTGTATCAAACTATTGGAATGTCCCTTTCACCTTTAAGATTTGATGGCAACAGTTCGTCCAATTTCAATGAAGCTCCATCAGGATCCAACGAATAGATATATATAAGTTTATTTAAAAATCAGTGATTTAATTGTGTATTATAGAGTTTTCATTTCAATATCTATGATTATGTTTGTTATATTTATGAATTTAATTTTTACCTACAAATATGTTTGTGATTGAATGGGACGGACTTGTGTTTAGTACTTCATTTTAATTTCTTCGTCTTACCTTTTTTAGGTCAGTGTAAAATATAATGTATTTTATTTATTTTTGGCCGCTCTTAGCTAATCTATTCCATATGTCATGCATAAAATCACAAGAATAAAAAGCATTTGTTACATTTCACATATCATTAATTTATCAAAAAAAGATTTAAAAGTTAGTTTATTTTCTCAATTTCCATGCCAATTCAAAATAATATACTTAAATCAAAACGAAAAGGGTATGGAATAATTGTCAATTGAAGCTGATGTATAAGTGTTGAAAAACAAAGTAGTAAGAGAATATTAAATAAGAAAATGAAACTCATGTCAGATAGCTTAAAGTGCAACATATCTTATTTAAAAAAAACTAAAATTCTTATAGAGTATAGCATGCATCTACTTATACCTATAAAATTAACATTACTTTATAATCATCGATAAAGCATGTCTTACCACCTCACTTCTACTTATACATATGTATAGTTTATAATTTTAATGTTATTTAAAAGACAATAAAAATAATTTTTGGTTGTACATATTTATAAATTTATTTTAAAAAATTATTCTTGTAATACTTTTTTCGCGTGTCATAACTGATCAATAGATTTTTATGAATTTAGAAATGATGTAGAAGATATCCAAATCACATAAAATACTGAATTGAAGTTCCATAAAAATTTTGTAGAATAATATAAATTAAACAATAAATATTTTTTAATTCTGAAATATAATAGTAGATGGTCTTTTATTTAGCATGGTGTAACACCCCCTTTTTTGAGCAGAGCCAACAAGGGAAGGATCACATCGGTAGAGAAATGGTGTCTTGGGCGTGTTGCCGGGTAGTTCCACTAGTAGTACTATGTCTCTCAATGATCGAAATTACGAAGATAGTATAGGATAGAGAAATCGTTGAATTGACTGGCGGTTCCGACTATCTGCGTTGAGTGATCATTCGCACAACAACGTTTTAATAATATAAATACTCATTATTTTTTTTAGTTTAAGACCGAATTCCTTAGTATTGAACAATAATTTTAATCTTTTATTTTAGAGTTATAAGTTAGAAGAGGGTTTTGAAGTACTTGAAGATTCAAAGGGTTTCATCAACCAATTTTGGGATCAGACCCATGGATTCTTAAACCTACATACCCATATGAATGAAAACTCATTTTGGTATAAATTTCTATCTCTTGTATATGTCTAGATAAAACCCCAATTCTAAGGGTGTGATTTTGTGAACATGGGTTAGATTATCTATTGGATCTTGCTTGTTTATTGTTTATTTGTTGTTTAATTGTGATTTCGTTTAGTACTTGTGTTTGAATTTTTTGAAATTGTAGTTGCAAACATACCATAACCCTTTTCTCATAATCATAAGCATACTTGACATAAACTGAAACAATGAATAATGTGCAGAAGCTAAATCATAATATAGTTGAAATGATAGAGATTACCTATACGCTAAAATGAGAATATAGATAATTGAGAGTTTAAATAAAAAATAAAAGTCAAACAAAACGACTAAAGATGGAACTAGCTATGTCTTAAATAAGCCTCCAAATTGACTAGAAATACTTGGACTTGCCCCAGCTAGAACTAGAAAAACAGAAACTCATGTTAAAAACAACACAAAGATAGTCATGTCACTAGTCCTCATTTAAATACAACTCACAATTAATGTTGTTGAACTAATGATCGATAATCGATGTATGAGTGATCTGAATGCTGAGGACTAGAACCTACATCACGAGAAGATGTACCGCAGAACATGTGTTAGCACTTAAAATGTACCGAGCATGAAGGATAGAGTGATACTGAACAATAACATTACTTAGTTAGAGCATCTAATCAATGACATGATTTGAACATAAATAAGAGACTAAAAGTGTTGTACATGACTAAACATAAAGCAATGACCAAGTTTATAATATGAAGAAACTGAACATTGAACTATATTAATTACATGCTAAATCCAATAGAATATGAATGAACTATAAGGGAGCTTACTAATTAACGACTTAAAACCAAATGACTTAAATGTGAAGTCCGATGTATACAACCTATAGAGAAGACCCAATATAACCTACCTTAGATATATAGGCATACTGATATGATGAATAAGATGATGCGCACAAAGGGAACTTACATTCTATGGGGCACGTAGTTATGTCAATTGGGGGTGACTTACCATAGTCCACTCGGTATTGAGATTCCCATATGATTAAGCAATTAACATGTTATGGCCTAAATGTTGTAACACTAGATAACTCAAATCAGACATGCAAACTAGGAATGCAACATTTATAATATTGATAATAATCCATTGAAAACTGAGGCATGTTCTTAAGTAACAGAATAACATGTGTAATTCAAGAACTAGAAGAACTACGTAACGAGGGTTCTGAGATTATGCATGAAAATGGGACAAACTGATACAGAATTCATGATAATATGATTTGATCATTCTGATAGGTAAAACCCAACATTTTTAAAGTTCAAGAAATCCTAGGTGTTGATAATCATTAATGGAATCAACATTTTGACTGAAATATAGCAGCCTAATGAGTGAAAGGAATTCTCTAGTTTTATACTACATACATACTGAAAACAGTTATTGAGAAATCTTTTTATTTTGGAGCCTTAACTAATGAAAACTTGTTGCATTCTTTGGAAGAGTTAGGTCGCCTCTTTCTCCTCTATAGTTTCTAAGTTTCTGAGTGTATGTGAATGATCTGACTTTTATAATTACTTATTATGTTTGTAGGCTAAAACAAACAAAAAAATACATAATTTAGGATTGAACGACTAAGTATAATCATCCAACACTTAAGGAAGAGACCAAAATAACCCTAGCATTATCATTTTTGAGGTTACCGAATGACTGTCGGTTAAATAATGGTCTGTGCTTGTCAATCTTCAGTCGTGATTGGACGCTGGTTTCTATGGGTATGATTCGGAAGCATATCACAGTACATGGTCTAACCTAAGGTATGTGGGTTCAGCCGTTGGTCAACCCTCAGACGAAATTCTAGGACAGAGTTCTAGGGGTTGCAAATGTTGATAATGAACAAGTAGCACAGGCCGTGTGTCACCATACGGTTCATGGGTGTCGACTGTGGGTCTTACCTGCAAGTTCTGAAAAATCTGCATTATGGTTTGTTTACGGGTACGAGGTGTTACAGTTGGAGTGGGTTTAATCGATAGTTCTATATCAATCTATAAATAGTTGATATAAATGCAAGTCTAACTAAGAGTTTTTGGCTTTCTTTAGAAAGAGGTTTTCTAACCAAGGATTTATATCAATTAATATAATTTTTTGATTAATTTGGGTTCAACTAAAAAAGAATGAATGCAAAACTCGATTCTACCTATATATAGAGTAGATAAATAAGGTTCAGGGTTGTTTATATTGTTAATATTGTTGAGTTGCGTGAGAAATTGCTTGACTTTTAATAGTCTTGAGATAGAAAGCTATTGCATCTACACACTAACTTACCTACTGTCACGCCCCCAACTTACACCCAGGATGTGGCCGGCACTCACCAACCATTCCTGTCCTTGTGCGAACACTTGGCTTGACTTACTTAAATCACTAGAACAGTTAAATCAATATAAGAAAACATCCTCATAAAATAACATGAAATAAATAACTTGTCCATAATGGAATATATGTCTCATAGCAAAACTTGTGCAAAAAAACCAAAGAAGAAAGAAACTCAAAACAAAACTATCTGACTATCTATGAAGCCTCTACAATATTAAGATGGATGTTGGGACAGACCCCATAGCATCCTATAAAATAAAGACTGAAAAAACAAGTAAATGAGTGCACCAAAATGCAAGGAGACTCGCCACTTACTACAAGTACTCAGCTGGATCAACGAGGCGCTTGATGGTATTGATCCTTGTTACATGTGTCGCCATCATGATACGATGTAGGTAAACTTGCATAATTACATTGAAAATACGAGTATGCGATTTGGTATGCTAACCCGAACTTAAGCTTGAATAAAGAAAGAAGTAACACTTACCTTGGCCCTACTTAACTCATGAATAACTTCACTTAATATAAAGCAATGAAAACATGTATTTTGTTTAAAAAAAAAAGAAAAATCTCAAATTGAATTATATGTAATAAATATAATTTTTGTGGGAGATTTTCTAACCGACAACCACAATTATGAACCTTATTGATGATACATCGTCTTGCCCATGCTACAAGAAGTGTCTTATGCTTTTATGACGCATAAAACTTCTTTACTTAGTGGATCTACTAGCTTAACTTACATGATCATCTAAAAAGTATGAATTGATAATACCCATGATGGCTACATGGTTTGCTTGAACATTTGAGTTAAAATGATTTCTCATCCACAAACCAATTCCTCCCATCTGACAGTCGTTTTCAAACGCTTCAATTAACTTCAATATTTTTTACAATTATTACTCCTACGACCGACAAGATTACATTTATAACTTCATAGATTAATTCTAATTTGTACCGTTTCCTCTAGGTTAGACAACAAAACATCAATGGGTTTTATAATAGATAACGATCGCTACGTCTAGTATTAAATTAGGTGTAATTTAGTGTTCATCACTCCTCAATTTGTAAGAGATGTTAATCATTCTTCCTTTTCTCAAATTTTATTCTTCTTGAACTCTCTTATTAAACCCAAAGCTTAATTAAGGATTGTAAAACTTACCCATGTCAGATATGACAAAAAAATATTTCTAAATTTGTTATAATATGATTGGGTAAGGAAAAGTCCAAATACCACTAACTAGCCTGGGTTACTTTCTTAAATGGTCATAATAACTCAAAAGGAGCATATGTCCCTCATTCAAAC